ATGTTCTTTTAGTCTTCCTGATGTGCTACAAAAAAAGTAGAAACGAATCCACTAAACGGTTGCTGAGATATAACGATTTTAATTTTCACTGATTTTACACGTATTTTTATGGGAAGAGACGATTTTGACGGATAAAACAGCTAAAAAAATGTTGAAGGAGCGCTACCAATATTTTGAATTTTTTTGTACATCTAGTATACGAATAGATGAAACTATCTGTCAAGTTTCAATTGTCTTCACTACACCATTTTAAAGAAATAAATTAATAATTAATGATAATTAATTATTAAATAATAATTAATAACTAATTATTAATTTAATTAATAATTTGACGTTATAAAGTTGAAATCAGGGCATTTTTACTGCCAAAAGTTTAGGCTCATAAATTACAAAAATCGCAAATAATACTGGAAAAAACATTTGTAAAGTAAAAAAATACCTTTGTAGGAGTAAAAATAAGACTCCTACTATCTTGAGTATCTTACATCTAGATTTACTATGCGTTAGGCGTAGATATTCAAGTATTTCAAATTTCATGCACTTTTGTCTAAGATTGTACCAGTGATACATCCTTAAGCCCGGTGTCCACGATGCTAGAACTGTGTCCAAATTTCGGTTTAAGCCAATGAAACTGCTACTTTTCTGTAATGCTTGGTCTACAATGCGAGTCGTAAAGTCATGAGTCGTAAGAATTGACCAATCACAATCTAATTTGAGGAAAATAATCGACTGTGATTGGTCAATTCTTACGACTCACGACTTTACGACTCGCATTGTAGACCTAGCATAAGAACTGCAAGATGATTGGCTTAAATTGAAACTTGGACACAGTTCTAGCATCGTGGACACCGGGCTTAAGGGCATCCTATAGTGGTATGCACTAAGTGTACGTTAAACTGCACTTTAACTCGTATTTTATTTATTATAAATTTTTAAGTGTCGACAGGAGTAAGTTTAGCCAAATTAATTAACAAATCTCATTAAACTTATGCTCGTTTTAATCAGTAAGATCAGCCGCTACCTGGTACATAACCGGATTTTTCATTTTGACTCTTAAAAATTTATAATAAATAAAATACAGAGTTAAAGTGCAGTTTAAAATGCACTTAGTGCATAAAGTGCACCCAAGTGTACCTGAGTTCGGCCGTGACTTCTCTGTCGACTCTTAAGGGCAAAAATGCAAAATCGGGCTGTTTAGGGCACTACAGATGAGCTTACTGATTAAAAATATCCTAAATTGAATAAGATTCATTCGATATTTTGGCTAAATTCTTCTTATTCGTAATGCTTTTCGTAATAAAGGATTTAGCCAAAATATTGATTGAATCTTATTCAATTTAGGATATTTTTAATCAGTAAACTCATCTGTAGTGCCCTAAACAACCCGATTTTGCATTTTTGCCCTTAAAAATTTATAATAAATAAAATACGAGTTAAAGTGCAGTTTAACGTGCACTTAGCGCATAAAGTGCACTGCCAACTGCCCCGAGCATACTCTTTTCTTTATTACACCCATGATTATACTCATCTGTGATTATACCATGCCTGAAGCCTGAAGGGCCGATTTCAGCTAAAAATTTTCAGAGAAATACTAGAATTTACAGTAAGTTGTTAGTGAAGTTTATACAGGTTTCCATAATTTATATATACAATAAATAACAAAATAATCTGTTGCATCGCATACGTAATAATGTGTAAATATTAATTATTCAATAGACATTTGTTATCTAGTTTAATGAAAAATAATCTTGTTGTAGATTATGGAAACATCCCAGAGATCAGCAGAACCTTCTAAAATTGCCGAGGAAAGTGAAAACGTATGTATCTACAATTTTGTAAGATAGGAAATTATTTTTTCAATTATATCTGTTCATTGTCTGTACATTTATTTGACAAGTGAGAAAATATTTACTTATCTGTTGTCAAACATAACAAAACAAATGACTAACTGTCACAATCTTGTGTTGATATCTGCTTTAACTTTTATACTAATGTGTACCATTCATTTGTAAATCTATTTACAATTTCGTTACACACAGTGTGACGAGAGCATCAAGGGCTATGTAGAGCCTAGATTCGAGTGTCCTATTTGTCTAACATGGCTGCGTGATCCAGTTTTAACATCCTGCGGCCATAAGTTTTGTTCTCAGTGCATTTACACTTGGCTTAAGTAAGTTGTATCTCATTTAATCAAGATTTTTCATAGTTGTGTATAAGTTAACTGGTTAGTGTGAATTATCAGGAAAGAAGGTGCTTGCTGTCCAGTTGATAGTCAACCTTTGAAGTCTGAAAATCTTTTCCCAGATCTTTACACTACTAGAGAAATATCTCAGAAACGTACAAGCTGCATTTATCAACAATTTGGTTGTCAAGTAAAATTATCTCCTGTGGATATGGAAACACATATTACTCAATGCACTTATAAACAAGATCTTTCAGAGCCTCAAGGTATACTTTATATAATCAAAAATATAATTTGGTTCTAATTTTTCTTCAATATATTCTTATAATTGTCTGACAGTACAAAATAGCACTAATGCAATGTCTGTGGAGTCAAAGTTATGGGATCCACCTTTAAAAAATGGGATACAAGTTGGAGATAAGGAAGAACCTTCTCCCGATTGGCAACAATTACTCAAGTAATTTAAGTATGATTTTATAGATACTATGTTTATGTTTACTGAAATACATGTAGACGTTATAAACTTTCTTTCTAGAAATCTATATGAAAGGATAGTAGTTTTGGAACAGGAAAATCGGGAGCTCTCTATAACAGTGTCTAATCAGAAAAATCAGCTCGCAGCTATGTGCCTACGAAATTGTAATGGAGTTTACATATGGAGATTGAAATCCTTCCAAGAAAAACTCGAAGCTATGACCAACGACCCTTTAAAAATGTTTTATAGTCCAGGTTTTTATACAAGTCCTAATGGATATAAGATCTGTGCTAGGATTAATATATCATCCAAGGACCCCGATTATCTGTCCTTTGTTTTACATATTATGAAATCAGAAAATGATGATGCTTTGGACTGGCCATTTAATGGTACAATGTTCTTTGCATTAGTACATCCACAAGATTCGGAGAAAAATATATGTGAAATAACGTCGTCAAAACCAGATCTTGAAGCATTCCGAAAACCCACGTGCGAATTGAATAAACGTAGCTTTGGCTATACAGATTTTATACGTTTACGCGATGTAATCGATTTTCTGCAGAATGATACTTTAATTTTTAGAGTAGAAGTTCACCCAATATGTTTAAGATACATAGTGTAAATAATCTATTTATGTACTTTGTTTAAATATATTGTTACAACATTTTAATATTTTTATAGCAATTATATATAAATATAACACCAAATGTAGTAGCTTATGAACGAAAACGGCATGACATTATATATGTAAAACACGTAGTAATTTTTGCATCAAGCTTTATAAGTGTATTATTTGCTAAACTTGAAGAAACCAAAAAATTAATAAAATAGAAGTTTATAAAATATTTTAACATCGTATCTAATGTTTGTAAAAAAGTTAATTTTTTGTTAACTTTTTGATAGAACTTTTGTTGGAATCCTTAAAATTTGAAGCAAATTTTGTTATTATTAGTAAGTTAGAAATATACTTGATTTTTTATTATCAATTATATTTCTTTATTAATAAATTATTTTTTATTATATTTCACCTTAGACACATATATAATTTATGTTTTATACGTATATAATTTTTTTTATATATAAAATATATACATATAAAATTATATATTGTTTTATTTTATATACGTAAATAAGTAATTCATTGATTATGCACTTCTGTGCATAATTTGGACTGTTTTCTTGCGCACTTCGGGACGAATCTGAGCTATCAGATTGTGTTACCAGGGAAATGTCAACATTTGTAAGACTTGAGACACAAAAGGCAGTATGGCGCATTGCTAAAAACAAAGATTTAAAGTATAAAACAGTTGTCTTAAATGTATATATGTTTATTAACTTTAGCCAGAAAGTGGACTTGGTTTACAATCAATCCTTAATCTCTCATACTTGCATTCAATCCACGCATACACAAATATTCAAAAATCCTATTATAAATTATACCATTATATCTTATTGCACTATCTCCTAACCTCACAGCCTATCTTACAGCCTATTGACATTCTATATCTATCTTCTTTTTCTTTCGCATTCCTTTCCCTAACAACTTTCAACAATACCTCTGCTTTGGTGGTGTCCAATTTATCGTTCCAAAGTTTTTCCAATCTTTCCTTTCCTTACTATCTTTTCCTAATACAGTAAACCATTTCTTTGTCTCAATACAATCCTCTACGTAGTGTTTCATGTTATCCTTACCTTTGTTGCAAAAAATACACATCCGCTTCTCCTTTTCTAACCAATACCTATTACCTGATTCTAAGTTACCGCATCTTAAATTTAACAGAGCTCTGATACTATCCCCAAGGTCTTGCCTGTAAATTATCCATCCTTAAATAGCAGAGACCTTCCAAATCCTTGCTTAACTCCTTGTATCTCTTATTATACCTTGATTCTAAAATTCTATTTTCCTCTAACTGCCTCTGAACATCCTCATCTCTATTCCTCAGTTGTCTTAAATGTAAAAATGTATATAATAAAAATATGCAATATACATTACACAAACTTAGTAAAAATTTAACTACTCATACTACGCGTTAAACCTAAAAAAATATAAGTTTCTTAATAAAGTCCATTCCGTTTCATGCATGATGCGCATAATGCATAATTTATCCTTGTTTAATATTCAGAAAACAAGAAGGATAAATAATGCATTATGCTCATCATGCATGAAACGGAATCAACGGAATGCATTCATAGGCCGGTATTCATAATCACAGATCCGTTTGAAATAAGAATCGACTGTGAATACCGGCCATAGTTGCTGATCTTTGGTCGATGGAGCGGGGCCTAAATATCGAAGATGTTGGATACACGTCCCTCTCTGTCTATTGTAACTACCAGTCTGAACTTGCCGCTAGTAGTCCATGTTATGTATTATATAGTCAAAGGTATGTACATACATCATACTTATACTGCTTTTATACTGTACCTTTCTCATTATGATATTCACATACTTATATTATACAATTATAATAAAATCTACTTACTGTTATTACGAGTAATAAGTGTAAAACTTAATTTATATAATTCGGCAAAACACAAAACGAAGGAGGACGTGGCATGCTGACTTTTCGATAAGACGGCAGCGCGTAATGACTTTATTATTTATTTTATATACTTATATCTTTTTAAAATAGTCGCTTGTGCTAAAATAGTCAAAACTTGCTACAGCAAACACATAGATGAAAAGTGTTTCTTTATATTTATTTCGATCAAGTATATTCTCAAATTTTACATCCTATTTATCAATATAATTATTATCCCACATATTTGATTACGAAAATATTACTGATAATCGTATATCGATAACCGTTCGTTGCCAGCAGAAACTTATACTTGTGCGTTTTATATACATATATTTACACTATACATATTATACAGGGTGTCCCAAAACTCGCGGATACGGAGTACAGGACGCGATTCTTTATGCTAAAAAAAACTACTTTTTCCTTTAGCAAAATTGCGTCTGACAAGTAGTTTTTGTAGCAGAATAGGTTAAAGTTAACGAATAAGCGCTCTTGTTTATGGCTGCGTTTCGATATTCACTGCCACTTGCCAATACTGAAAATCTATAGTTTACGTCACGTATACTATAGATTTTCAGTACGGGCAGTGAATTAAGTGAATATCGAACTCACTTAGCCTATGTAGCGCTCCAGGGGCGCCGCACGCTTCTCAGTCGCTCGTACCTAGTCCTTGACCTTTTTCTGTATTGTATTGCTTAAAATATAATAAAAGTTAACAAAACAAAACAAAATAAAAATAATTTGTCAGAAAAACAAAAACTTGTCAGACGCATGAATTTTGCTAAAGGAAAAAGTTGTTTCTTTTACCGTAAAGAATTACGTCCGGTATTCCGTTTCCGAAAGTTTTGGAACGTCCTATATACTAGAATAATGAAAGGAATCGATTGTTGTAAAAAAACCAAAATTTAAAAAAAATTGATTGGATTCTGTGAATGACGTATTCAATTTTACAAAATTACAAATGTAAAAATTAATATTACTTCGATTCCTTTCATCATTATATATGTATAAAAGTATCAAGGTAAAGTCATCGAAAAGTGAATATCTTTACGAGATATTTCAAATTTTATATTAAAAATATCATGATAACATTTAAAATATCTCAGGAAATTTTTAACGAAAGAGTTTTAATTATTATAGTGTTTTGAAAACGTCTCGCTTTATAGCGAGGAGAATATGCGAAAAAAATAGGGAGTCTATTTAAAAAATTTAAGGTGACTATTTGTCCTGACTTTGGCAACGCCACCCTAGGTCACACTGATAAGATTAGTAAACAGATCTTTTGAAACCCTACAACTTTTGTATATAACATTTTTTCAGAAAACTATCTTTTCAAGATATACTGTCGTGCCGGTTTTTATATACACTTAGGCCGATATTATTCATAGTCGGTTCTTATATTTAAGACCATCTTAAGTACTTAAGTTATAATTTTAAGATGTCATTAACCAATCACAGAGCCGTATTAGCATCTTAAGATATTTTACTTAAGACGGTTTTGAAATAAGATCTGATTATGAATACCGGCCATAGTCTTCAAGATCGTCTTAAGTAATGTCTTAAGACGCTGATACGGCTCTGTGATTGGTTCATGACATATTAAGATTGAACTTAAGGGGATGCTGGAGCCGTAGCCGAACTCGATCGGCGTCGGTAAAGAAGATCGGCGAACTATATCTGTCCTTGTATAGGCAAAGATATAGACAAGGATAGCACGCTACATTGCACGCACACATACGCACGATGCACACCGACATTATACTTTTATATTACGCTTCCAAATCTTGATTTGGGGGGTTTATCGATGTTTTTCTTGTTGTGCAATTCGGGGGAACTTGTTTTCGCGTTCGTACCAATGGTATATCTCTTATATGAAATACATCTTGTGACGAGCTGACAGCTCGCCGCAACTCGAGACGCCATATTGGGATAAGAGTAGGATAAGGAAATCTGTACTTCCGTAATGTTTTCTCGTTTTCTATATAAAATCGGAGTTTCCCCGAATCATTAATGTATGTACTGCAATTCTGGAGAAGGATTTTTAATTCTGTCAAATTAATACGACGCTACGTGCCGACAAAAAATGTCGGTAAAACAGACAGCTCCAACATCCCCTTAAGACGGCTTAAATAACTATGAATACTGGCCTTAATTACTTTTTATATATACACTGTATATGTATATGTATATATATATATGTATATATATATGTAGGGTCCAGAGGTATGTTCCGGGACTGTTTACGTTTTTTGAAATGTACAGTCCTGGAATATAACGCATATATATGTAATCAGATTCAAAAAACTGTCCCGAAAATTGCCGTAGGACACGAATTTTTTTCAAAACAGTCCTGGAAACTGCCAAATGTCTCGGAATATACCGATATCAAAAATAAAAGTCCCGGAACATACTTCCGGACCTACATATATATAATTGTGTGTGTGTGTGTGTGTGTGTGTGTGCGCGCGCGCGCGCGCGCGTCTGTCTGCTGTGTGTGTGTGTGTGTGTGTGTGTGTGTAGGGTGTGCCATTTTAAAATGCCCCAGGTAAATATCTCGAAAAATATGGAAGATATGGAAAAACGTTTCAACAAAAGTTGTAAAATATCAAAAGGGCAAGACAAATAAGTAATGGTAAAACCAATTTTCGAAAAAAAAATGATTTTGTCAGATCACATAAAGGACATCCCCATTTTTTAAATAGAATTGTATGATTTTTTTTACATAATAGACTGATACATAATAGATTCTTTTAATTATTCTACATATAATATTCAAAAATGAATAGTTTACGAGATATTTCATATTTTATTTTGGCACATTTTGACATGAAATATAAAATATCTCGTAAACTATTCATTTTTTGATAACTGTATACAGGGTACCTTAATACTTTTATGTACAGAATAATATTATGAATTAATTAGTGTAAAAAAACACATTGTTGCTTTGCAAAAAAGACATGTAGTTGCATATTGGAAATTGCATAATTTTTTTGCAAAGCAACAATGTGTTTTTTTTTAATTCATCTTAATTATTATTCTGTACATAAACATATTTTCATTGTTGCAGTGACCTGAATTGTGGAACACTAAAAGTGGAACACTGAATCTAGCTATAAAGTGTATGAAAGGCTTTCTAAAGAGAAACATCACAGAGATTCGCTTTCTAAGCACAAGCTGCACAATTCGAGTAGACTCGTCATACATACAGTCATTCCGCATACGTGCAGTCTCTTAACGTTGAAGCATAAACGAAGAAATGGATATAAATATTATGCGCACCATTTTCATTTTTAAATCAGTAAACGCCATATTAATGGGATTATCGGGCAATTTCCTGGAACCTTATTTACCTGTATTGGTAAAACGTGCCTACCTCTATGGCAAATTTAGTGTAAGGACGCCTCACATAATAGCAACAAAGCTCGAAGTGCCAAAAAGGTAAATTAAAAAGTAACATGTATATTTTTTCACAAACATTAGATAATTGACTGTAATTTAATAATAATTTATATTGTTGAAGATATCAAGCTTAAAATATCAAACTGTGTGTGTATTCTTTCAACTAATAATTCATTTTTAATTACTTTAAAAATTTTTTAGGTGGTTTAGACATTTTTATATTTTTTGTGCACCACTACTAACTATTACTCTTTGCTTAGTTGTTTACAAATATCTTTATAATGCGAATGTACCTGAAATTGTGTTTACATTGTTAGACACATTATTAGGAACCTCAAGAAAACCATTAAGTATGTCTTTTTTTAAATATTTTTTGAATATATTTACTGAATATATTTATTAATTCTATAATTATTAACATAAAGGTATAGTTAGATAATTATTTTTTTTTAGTATCAGCAGAAGATGCAATTCTGGCTTTTGTGATATATAATATACATTGTTGGAAAAGGTTGTACGAGACATGTTATGTTAATGTATTTAGTGACCAGAAAATCCATATATCCGTTTATTTAATCGGATATATACATTACATTGGACTAATACTGTGTATAATAGGCGAATCTGAAGGATTTGTTAAAGGTACATCTTAAATAATTTGCAATTATTAAGTTTATTACTTTCTCTTATATCAATATATACATGAGTGTATGTATGTAATTTTTTTTCATAGGTTCGCATGCGAGTGTGAATCTGCACAAAGTGACAATTGTGAAACTAGTTTGTGCACTTATATGTTTATGGTCGTCATATATGCAATTAAAAATCAATTTTATTCTTGCAAATTTACGTAAAAATACGCATGGCGATGTTGTATCCCTTGGGTATAAAATACCATCTGATGGCCTATTTAAGTATATAGCAGGTCCATTGCAATTACAAGAGACACTTATATATTTAATGTTGTCTGTAATCCTTTGGCAAGCCTCTACATATCATTACGTTACTCTTTGGGTTATATTAAATCAGGTAAAAAATAGAAATCAATAAGCATATTTTTTTTAGAAAAAAAGAGGAAAAGTGAAGTATATAAATAATTCTTTTTAGGTGGAAAGTGCATTTTTGTCTCATCAGTGGTACCGTAAAACATTTAAAAATTATCCAAAAGAGAGAAAGATCATAATTCCTTATATATGGTAAAACTCTCCTATTAAAAAAATTTATATATAATTTATAGAAAATAATATTTAATAATTTTTATATTTATAATATACATATAAAATAATATGCATACTGAATAAACAGGTTTAATGAATCTTTGTCCTTATATATTAGTTTAAATACATATTTCAGTATACTACTTTTGTTTTATTGTATAATAGTATTAAACATGGATTTATTTGTATTACATACAGTGTAATGAATATAATACAACATTTATAACAATATAACTCTTTACTCTTCATTTGTAAAAAAAATCCTAGTTTTATATCAAACTGCCAAATATTTTTTACTCAAATGAAGAACTCATGAAGATGTTTTTTCTACACCTATTTAATTACTTGAACAGTAAACTGAAACAGACAAAATTATTCTTCCCTGAGATACAAATATAATGACAATTCTTATAAACATTCAAGTATGAAGCATGATGATATTGAAATTTTTTTAATTTTTCAAATATTATCATGCTTCAAAATATTAAATTCATTTATAATAATACATTAAAGATAAAAGATTTACAAACCTATATGGATAGCCTTGAGCTTTGTTTCTAAATATTGATAGAAGAAGACTAAAGAAAATTGCGACTAATCCCGCACCTATCACAGCTAGTATTTTGCGCTTCTTAATGTCTCCTTTACGAGCTGCAGCTTCAGTCATTAAAATCATTCCTAATACCACTGCTCCATCTTTTTATATGTAATTAAGGTCTATATCGCAAAATGTAAGAAACCCAGTTTACCTGTATCTTTAAATATGGGGCATTCCATGCCAAATCGACCTGGGTTTGACCCTCGAGATAATTTTTTATGTTATTAATCCAACTCTCACATGCACTGATTTTTTTTATAAAATAGATTTAGTTATAATTTTTTAAACCGACATATCGATAGCTACAATTTAAAAATCTGAAAAAATTCTCAAAAATCCTGTGTCAGATATCAAAATTTTTAAGCCTTAACACAAAGTGAACCGGCGTTCGCTTCTAATTTTTTCGAGCTTTTTTCGAGTTTAAAAAAAAATATTGAAAAAAATTAAAAGCAGACGTCAGTCCACTGTAAGCTGTTGCTTGAACATTTTTATATACAACACAGGATGTTTGAGAATTTTTTCAGATTTTTCCGACGTAATTTTTTTCATTATGGAAAATCGCTTCGAAACTAAATCAATTTTATAAAAAAAATCTAAAAAAAATCTGAGTGCATTTTTTCATAAAGTAATTTCTGAATATACCAAAAGGATACTCATGACCATAACAATATAGGTTTCCACTATAAACTGTCCTTGAGAAGATCCATGAATATAAGCTACATTGCCATTTGGTGATTTATGAAAAAAAGGTGGTCCTCTGATATGATTCCACATTTGTCCAGAAGTCATATTTATGGCGAAGAACTGGAAACGAGCAAATTATAAATATTTATTACAATTAATTACAATAAAAAAAAAGGAATCGAAGAAAAATATACTTACCAAAGCGCAGAATCCCCACAGATTTTTGTTGTAAATGAAATCTAAGTTGTTACGTCTGAGATACAGACCACCTCCTACAATAACTATGAGCATGCCTAATCCTACTGTACCAGAATAATTTGGTGGTCTAAATACTCTGATCTATAATCGACAATAAAATCACAGTATTGCACAAATGTGGTCAAATAACAGACATGTTATTTCACAGATATCAGCGTCACTTTAATATAACAAATGTGACATGAGGCAATGACTGTAACAGCATTACCTGAATATCTGTGCGTTCACCAATCCATTTCGCTATTGCTTCCGCACCAAATCCTACTCGCTGGATATCCATAGTATCGGCAGCTTTTGGTTTACCTTTGGGTGGAAAATGCATATATACTGGCGCAGTATTCAACTTCATCTATGATAAAAAAAGATTTTCGTATTAATTATGTCTTCTCACATCTTCTCCTTGTATTTTCTACTTACCAACCGAAAAACGTCGGATCCTTCGTCAAAATCGATAGAAGCGAAGAACAACTTGTTAGAGTACAATGGGGAATATCGGAAGGAATTAGCCACTATTGTAAATTCGTCGTTGGCATGCCTAAAATTACAATATAATTATTAAACACGTCCATTTCCTCAACGGCGACTTGTTCAAGTATAAACAGCTCACCTGCAAATCTGACATTGCCTTTGAGGCGCCATGGCGGTAAACATAACTATAACAGAATAATTCCTCGGAGGAGCTTTAATGTACTGTTTAAATTTCGAACCATTGAATTTCAGTACCGATTTCTTCATAGCCATCTCAGTCAGTTGCTGCACGCGCTCTGCCAAAGAGGTGCCTTGATTCTGCGAGAAAAGAATAACATTTCAGAGAGCCATTCTGGAAGCATATTGAGACTTAGCTGAAGTGGAGTAATAAATATAAAGATATTCGAGGAGCGCTCACGTTTTTCGTTCTGTATTGACAGACGACATAGCTTAAAACGGAAAGAAGGATCAGTGCGACGTGGAGTTTGTATCTCATCGTGAACCAGAGATTTGATACGCTGCGCGGAGACTCAACGGGACCGGGCACCTTACCGGCGACACATTAGCGGCCACTGGTGATCGTGATCGAGCGAGGGGCCGGCGAGGGCCACGATAAACACACTAGACGGTGGGTATGTACACGTGGCACTCGTCGCGCACGTATGTATGTACTCCGCGAATACGCGGGCAAGCTCAATCGAGGTTGGGACTCGGCGAGACACTAACAACGAATCAAACACGAGGAATCAGGAGAGTCAGGAACTGTCACTGAAAATATATGATACTGAAAGTTGGAATGTTGGAACTTGGAACCTGGAACCTGGAACGAGCGCTAGGCCTGCCTGTGCGATATGAGAAAGAGCATGTCAAGGTGTCTGGAGCAGCGCGCTGTCCTTGTCTTTGGCTTATTTGGTCTTCCAATCGGCCCGTGCTTCATCCCCACTCCATCCTCCCTACTCTTGACTACGCTGTAGACTAGACAAGGAGAAGAGAGGAACTTGGGATTTCTCTCTCATACCACTCGCCTACCGTGGATTTCTACCTCGTTCCAGTGTATATATACATATATTTCAATAGGAGCTGACCCGGCTGACCGTCTTTTCCTCCTGCCTCCTGCCGCGTTTACAACACGCGTTTTCGCTCGCAAACGTCGCATAGCTGATTATCGACGGCCGACGCGGAGGGAGCGCATGTATCGAGTGCACATTCTTGTGGCTCCGCGCTCATTGGCGCTTCGGTGGCGAATCGTCGCCGCGCTCGGGGTCAGGTAACCGCCGTTTCAAATTGAAATAACCGATCCGGCGAGGAGTCGGGCAGACTGGCAGCAGGCAGCAGGCAGAGTCAGGCAGAGTCGAGTGAGGGATCGCTGGCGACGCTGGCTGGAAAGACGCAGTGTTTGGCGCGATCGAACGTGGTCCGCGTGGTTTTGTCTTCGCGCGAGCGGGAGGCGCACGCGAACGGAACGACGACAACGGGAACACCTGTGCAACGGTCGTTCGACAGCGGCTCCTGATCGCGCCGATCGCGCATATTCCGCACCGGCGAACATCGCCCGGCAACGATTCTGTCGCGGCGAATCCGTCGGATCTCGTTCGTTGATTGAGTTGATTCCTGAGTACGCTGTACGGCAGGCAACTTCTACGTGCGTGAGCGCGCGCGACACGACGAAATGTCCTTCTCCAAGGCGAGGATACAGCGGTTCAACGAACTTGGAAGTGAGTTATTGTTTGTGTAGCGAGCACATATACTTACCTGTTGCACGTCCAACCAAATTCTCTGCTTCGTTGCCGATTTGTTTCCGCACCTCGGTGATCTCCTCGTTCGTCTCTATAGAGTCTCTACGTGCCTGTGCCGAGTGGTTTTGATGTATCTCCCGATTTTCGATTGCATCAGTACACACGACACGTCTTTTTTTTCACGGCTTTGCACACTTATCGATTATGTGTGTAACTATAATTGTATATACAGCCTGTGTTGTACTTATTAAGTAGAAGTAGGCCTATTCTTTTTAGCCGAAAACACTTGCATGGTTCATCTTTCCTCTTTTTCTTTTCACGGAGAGAAAAAGAGAAATGATGAACCGTGCAAGAAGACCTATTGTTGTAGCTTGCGAAATTTTGGAGTGGAGAAAAAGCTTTTGTCATAATGAAATTTAGCCAATACCTGCGTTAATTACATAAATAACACAAACTTCCGCAACGAATTTCTGTAAAACAAGCTGAAGATTCAGTGGGATTTGGGATTTGTCCTAATATGTTTATTGTTATTCCGTACAATTGCACGAGTGTGCTGTGTAGCTACGTAACGTAATGGCGGGAAAATCTTAACGCTCCGCATGAAACGTGGAGCTGGTGGAGCGTGGAGCTTTAACCGTCTCTCGCGCGCGCGCGCGCGCACGCCACACACAAATGCGTCTCGTATCTTGTATCTTATGTACTTTCTACTGTGCTCTCGATAGTGCCAGCTTTTTCATTATAAATAAGCTTGTTCATTGTGTATCTCGTTATAAAATGGTTATTCTACAGGAATTCATATTACTTTATTATAATTTTTTTATGATACTTTACATATTTATAATTTAAATCGGAAAATAGAAATATGATTAATAAAATCAATATAACTGCAAAGTGCTCATTTTTATAAAATATTCGTATCTTGTTTTCTCGTGCCTTTTACCGTGCATTTTGTATTTCCGCAAATAAAATATATTTCAAATAATCGCAAGTGATAAATTCTTTATAAATAAAGAATTATTTCTTTGTTTGATAAATTCTTCCTCGTCGCGTATATAAAACACACGCAACAATAATATTTATACATATAATAAATAATTATTCTGTTTAATTTCTTTTAATAATGTGAACAGATTTAAACAATTCCTTTCTTATACGTGATAGATGAATAAATAAGTTAAATAAATATATTTATTTTCTATACATAATTTTAAATCCATTACAAACTTTTATACTTTTTTCAATTTTATTTTACCCAATTAAGACAGTCCTCCGTATTTTACATTTGAAATTAGGAAGATAGGATATTTGCATTTAGTATTTTAGTACGCAAAAACTATATAAGCGTTTGTTTGTAATTATAATTATAATTGTAATTGTAATTATAATTAACCCTCAGCCCCTGCCCTTGTTTTCGACCAACGTAATTCCTGTCCATGGGTCGTTCGTGTTCTGAGCTTATTAAATAACAAATAACTTCAAAAATGATTTAAAAATCTGAAAAAATTTATAGAATGTCTTTGAACCTTATAGAATACGAAACAATACTTTAAAACAATAAAAAAATTGTAAATAACCATCTAAACAAATAAACTCGGGAAAAAATCGCTAAAAAAACGTAAAAAATAAAAAAAAATTATTTTTGGTTGAAATTGACGTAAAATAAAAAAAAATTTTTTTTAAATAGGAGCTGAAGAGTTCTTTAAGAAAAAAATTACGTCGATCTTATATTATTAAAAAATAGTATTTTTTTACAATTGAAAAATGAGTATTTTTGATGTCGTTAGATTTATGAAAAAAGGGAATAAAAATAAGATAATCATGTGATATTTGTTTTAAATTGCGTATTTATAGAAAATATAAAAGAACAGTGAAAGTATGATAAAAGTTTGTATTTTTATACTTTATGATTAATAACAATCCCGGCATACACATAAGCGATGTTCCTCATATGAGGGAACAATCTTACAATTAATTATCTTATATATTTAATTTAAACACTTATCTAACTTCTTTTGATGTTATTTTTCTTAAAAATCCACAAAAACAATTTTTTGCGCAAAAATAACAAGTTTTGAGACCCTGCGTTTGACACACGTAGCCTCTGTGCGAGTCATTCGTGTCCCTTCGAGATTTGTAATCTCCAATGCTCGCGGCTGTACTAGCGGAATCTAACGAAGTTTTTCCTTGAAGTAACTACTACAAATGGCGTCACCTCTTTTGAGGTGAGGTTTCAAGATATTACAGGTAATTTTGGCCTGACACAAATGACCCATGGATAGGGGCTGATGGTTAATACAATTAATGAAGTGTAAGACCAAAAATAAGATATCAGAATTAAAAAATAAATGTAAAATCCAACCCTAGAATATAGTATTTCGTGTACAACACAAATATTAGGAATGGATATTCGCGTTCCTGTCTTTCATCTCATACTTTTCTCAATTACATATATTTTATCAGTGACCAGTCACTAAATTATTTTATTATGGATGTTCCTCGAGGTTTTTTGATGTACGATGATTGTCAAAATTATTATTCTTGCCACACTTACATTTGCTCCTTGTAGCTTCCTTATCCCATTGTGTACGTAGCTGTTCAAGTAAAAGGTAGGCGTAATATTTTATTCGTTATTCCCTATATCTTATCTTTGCTGCGTCTGCCCTTTAAATTTCTCATATATTGATCCTGCCCCCTCTCCCTCTTACCCCTATAGAAGAAAGAGCGCGGTAGACAATAAAAGACGTTTTATCGCGTATGAACGCGATGGGGAACGTTGCTGGCTACACCTGGTTATTCTACCCCATAGAGATGTGTCCCTTGCATTCAGAACAGCTGTCTTTCCCATTTGCGCCTGCTTCTCCCCATGCACGATACCGTTGCTCCAAAAGGAAGTCTTATTTAGTCGCACCGTCTTACCTCTTCTTTGTCGTTGCGACGCAATGCGCGAGTCCCATCGATATATTGCGCAATATTTAAGAATAGGCTGTATTTAAGATCTTCGTACCCTATAATAGAACAAAAGTGAATTAACAAGAATTCGTTTGATCTACTAATCTTCATTAGAAGAATATTAGTACTTCGGGATTTATTTATTTTTCGTTTCAGGATTTATCTATTTTAATTCTTGTTTCATCATTTTTCGATAGATCCATAATTTTTTCGTAATTAGGAATTTGAAAAATTACGATTATAAACGTGGCATATTTCCTTCTATTCACTAAAATGTGATTTAATAGCAAAATTACGTCGATATATTAATAATGATAATTGTGATAGAAAAAAGAACCGCGATCTAGATATTTTGCATGTTATTTTAATTTACTGACGTATGCACGTGATTTCACAGGTGACGCACCTCCACCAGGCGCTTATGATCCGAAATTTGACAGTAAGGTGAAAGGATCCGTTATTGAGAAGTCCGATAGGTTTTTAGATAATAAAAGTACAAGCAGCGCGGAATGCAGTGCCTCTACCGCATCAATAAAAAGCAATGCGACGACTCCCCTTTTCCGAATGGTAAGAATACTAAGAATTGTCGCAAATTCTGTCGCCGATTACGTCAATTGCAATATTTGAGAAATATTTGAAAAAAGATTTGATAAAAAAGAAAGATTTGTTTATTATTATTGTGGAATAATGAAGTGTAGAATTGGCTTTATATCAATTATGGTTTAAATTAATCTGTGAACGCACAGCATTTTTTTCGAAATGATTATCCGTGTTACATTTGTTTTTTGACTAAATAAAGTGGCAATACAGATTTAAATGGAAATATAAAAATATGTGCTAGCTTTTTTAAAAAGTACACTATTTAACAAATAACGTTTTTTTAGCATAAGAATGAGAATAATTATTTCCCATAGTTTTTTTGGACATCGAATACAAACCTGTTTACCAAATTGCTCTATTACGTCACAATTTTGAGAAATTTGCAGTTAAAGTTGCAAAACTACTGGGAAATGATTATTCTCATTCTTGTGCATTTTTTTGTTGAACAGTGTTATTGTTACCGTCAAAAAATATTAGTAAAATCGAATATATCATTAAATTATGTAAGATATTATATTTTTACGCAGCCTCAACCACCATTGAAACGATTGGTCACGAAATCGACGGGGTTGACTTATCCCAAATTAAAAACTGCGCAATTAATCAAAGTTCAAAGCATGAAATATGAATCCAATCAGCAACTTGCGGATCTTCAAGTAGAATGTTCGAACAAGGATAAGACTATACAGGAACATGAGAAGCACATCGAGGATATGAAAGATGAGATACAGAAATTGGAAGCCGAATTGGAGGAGCTGCGTAAGAAACAAAATGAAATAGAAACGCAACATATGAAAGATATAGAAACAATGGTTAATATAATATTTCTTAATAGAAATTTTATTTATTATCGGCCAGTGTCATTAATACATTATGTTTTTAAAATATTTTTAATTTGCAGGCTAAGTTGCAACAGGATGTAATAAATAACCATGATGATAAACATCAGGCAGAATTGCAGGTACTTCGCTCTCAATTATTAGAAATGACCAAGGAAAAAGAGCAAGAGATTTCAACGCGAAAAGTAATAGAAACGGAACTCAGAAGTCGTGCGGCTGAACTATCGAAAAGAATAACAACACTGGAAGCTGAGTTGTCTGCAAAGAAAGAAGAGAACAGAACAAAGGTAAATTAAATTATTTCATCTTAGACGTGTGAAGTAAATTGCTGTATTAACAAAGTTACATTCTCTTATGTTTCGTTTGTTTAACAGATTGAAGCTCTTGAAACGCGCATTGGAGAATTGTTAAACAAATTGGAAAAAACTAAACAGGATCACGATATGGAAATAGGATTATTACAAAAAGAAAAATGTCAACTCGATGTCTGTGTCACGAATTTAACTCAAGAACAATCTGATCTTGAATCTAAATTGGAAATGAGGCAGAACAAAATTGCGGAACTTGAAGCTCAATTATCTGCTCTGCAGTGTGAATTACATGAACTTAAAACGCAATACGGAAAGCTTGCCAACAATTACCTTGATAAATTTTCTGATTTTGCTAACAAACACGAGGAAGAAATTAAACATATAAAAAATGACTTTCAAAAAGAAAAAGCCGAGTTCTTGATAGAAAATGAAATTTATAAGACACGCGCATCAAAAATGGAAACAAAAGCAAATGAAATGGAAGAAAAAAATTATTCCCTTACGGAAGAATTGAAAAATCTTCAAAGATATCATAAAGATGTGCGTGCCCCATGTCATCCCATATTTTTTATTTTATTTACAATTATGTATATACTTTATGTATATATTTATCATGCATAATTACATGAAAATACAGAAAATAATTATATGTACATATAGATGTATATAGGACATTTAGAGGAAATTATGACAAAGTTATAAAGGATTTTGTATAGAACAATTTTTGTTAAGTAATCCATGTCCAGCCACATGTCTTTAAGGCGTTAAGTATTTTTTGTCTGGTAAGCGCGTTTGCCGAACTTGTGCCTTGATTTGTTATGTGGGAATATCAAATATATGTCAAAAATTTGGCATACACGATCAAGTGGCTCAACATTCGAAATAAAGTTCGTTAAAGAGATTAATGAACGCACACACATGTGACATAATCTACAGTATTTCTTCGAAAAGATGAGTTGATCATTGCATCACAATAATCTTTTGCAGGTTGCCAAATATTTATTGTAATAAAACAAGAAATAAACAAAATTAAAAAACATACGATTTTTTATTCTACTTAATTTTATAAAAATTAAGTAGGCATTTAACGAAGTTGAAAACTGACACCTTTAAGCGCTTTAAGGACACGGGTTACTTAACAGAAATTGTCCAATTTAACCAGACTTACTTTTTTTTTTAATTTGTCAACTTTCTAGGAATATCCTTTATGTATGTATGTGTACTAAAAATGAACGATATCTTAAATAATTTTTTATCTTTTCCTGTTCATGCTTTAGGTGACTCAACGTTTACAAGAAGCTCAAAATGAATTAGAAGTTTCAAATGAGAGACATACCATTATGATAGAAAAATATAAAAGGGACTTGAATGATATGACAAATATGCACACGAAAAACACATTAAAACTGGAGAAAGTATTAGAAGATGCTGCAGATGAATATTTAAAAGAATTGGAAAATGTACGGTGATACATATATTTTTTTGTTTTAATTATAACAGCCATATTTTTATAATGCATTTTTCTGACAATAATTCATATATATATATATATATATATATATATATATATATATATATACATATATAAATTTTATACAGTTTACCAAGGCGAAAGATAAAGAAATAGAAGAATTAAAACAAGCTTGCGCTAAGAAAATTGAAGAGGAAACCGAGCGGATAATGAAGAATGCCCAGAAAATAATCGAAAAAGCGGAGGCTGATAAACAAGACGTAGTAGTAGCATGTCGCACCGAGAGCAAGAAACAGGTGAAAAAAACGATTGTTGAATGTGATGCGAAAGTAAGCAGGTTACATATGCGTAGATTGTCAAACATCACAGACTAATTATTCGTTTTCTGTAAAAGTTTGTGTGAACGTACAGACACTACATCTTCCCTGAGTTCCGTAAAGTTCATATGTGAGTATTCTATATAGTAAACGTTTACTATAGAAAATGCGCGCATATGTGTTTTACGGAACCCAGGGCTTATACAGATTGTTATGAAATGTAATTCATTCTGTAGATGTTTCTCTGTCAATGCTGTCTTTTATATTTCCCTATATATGTTCTTTGTGATGTTTGAGAATTTTTGTTGCAATGGAACAATGTATTCACAGATATTAAAATGGGACCTTTTTCTTAGGTCAGCGCCATGGTCGAAGAAGCGCGAAATACCGTGGAAGAGGAGATGCGACTTGCTAACGACAGATATAAAACATGTTTGCTTCGCATGGAAGTAGAGCGTGCTGCATTAGACGAAAAACTTTCGCAAAGAGATGCTGAAATCACGAAACTTTCCATGACACTCGAGACACTTAGATCATCCGCGGAAACACAGGTAACTATCGTGATGTTAATGTTAATAACATTATACATAATATAATCTTATCATGTTATAAATTGTGACTTTTAGGAAAGTTTTAGTCAAAGTTTGCAACATGAGCTGGATAAAGCAGAAAGCGAATTGGCGGACAAAAAACAAGAATTGAGAGCTTTAAAAGATCATATTAGAACAGAAGCGGCCGAAATGGTTGCTAGGAAGAAAAGGTTGTTATCAGCAAATTTTATTTCCGTAAAGCTTGAACTTTCACCTACTTTACCTTATTGAGCGACTATTTTAATTATTTTAAATATTTAGATTTGAGCTAATTATGGCTGAAAATCAAGCATCCGTTGCTGCACTTGCTAATCGATTGGCTCAAAGCAACGCTGAAGTGGAAAGATTACAGTATGAAGTCAAATGTAGTGAAAATTGCATACGCGAACACAAGGAACTGCTTAGTGCGATGCGTACCAACTCACAATTGGTGCACGAACAAGTTCACTCTTTCATGAGAGAGTTAGATGCTCACAGAGATTTAGTAGATCAGCATCAATCTGGTAATTTGTCTCAATTTGATTCGATAAAATCTCTCTTTGAGGCAAAAATCGAAAATCTAAAAGAGAAAGCCGCAAAGGAAATTTCAAGACTTGAGGATGACACTAGACTGAAATCTGTATTAAATAATGAGGTAATGTTATGCATGTCATTGCAGTTGTTTTTAGATTACACTTTGTAATTTATGAAAATAAGATTTTTCTAAAAATTGATTGTTTAATTTGGTTTATTGTGTTTCAATCGTAGTTGAAAACACAACTCGATGAAATGTCTAAAAGTATCAGTGAGGCACAAGGAGCAATACTCATATTGGAAGAACAAAATGACGCTAGAGAAATCGACATTTCACGGATGGAGTTAGCAAATAACAAACTTTTGGAGGAATTAAAGAGTCGCGACAAAGCGTTAGAAGAAAGTAAGCGATTACTTCAAGATCAAGCAATGCAGCATAAAATTATTCTAGACGAAGTAAGTTCGAATATAATATTAAAATAAATTGTGAGTGAATTATTGACAAATTTGTGCATAATTATTAATTAACATATGTGCGAAACATTTATAGACAACTTGTCGAATAGAAGGCCTTTCTAAAAAAGCTAAGCAATGCGAAGAAATAGAAAAAACTGCAAAGGTAATATTTTTTTTATTACTAGAATTTATTATAACGTAAAATTGTAAAGAAATATTATCGAAGAGTAAAAATGTCTTGTTACAGGAAACCGCTTTATTATTAGAGCAAGAACGAATAAAATGGAAATCTTTGGAAAATGAACTTAGGCAGCAGCTCAAAAAGGAAATAACAGAACGTGAAGAAGTTGAACAGTGAGTGTAATATAGTATTGAAATTCTTTTTATTACAAATTTGAAAAATAATGGTTATTTTATTTTGTAGAAAGGCCACCAAATATGCAGCATTGAATGAGGAACTTAAGAAGACTAACGCGGGAATTATTGAACAATACGCTGACGTAATCGGGCATCAGAATCCTAAGCAAAAGATCAAACATGTTATTCGGCTAAAAGACAAAAACCTCGAGTTGGAACAGGTGTGTGGCATCGTCCCGCTTTTTGTAATTTTTGTGATATCCTTTTTGGCTTTTTGCTTTCTTTCTGTACTATATCATTAAACATTTTTAATAGAATTATCATGATATTGTTAAAAGTATACAAAAATATCTGTACATAATTTCTTAATTTGGGCGTTCAGGCCTTTTTTAGGCCTGATAAGTAATGCGATTGTTGTACAATTGTAACAAAATTCTGGTTCATGTATATTCTTATCATGTAAATAATGTTGGCGTTCCGTTTCGGAGAATATGCCAAGAACTTCACAAAAAGGAGACTCAACTGTATATTATTTTTTAAATTGTTTTATTGAATGGATTTTATAGAAATAAATATTTTTATCCTTAAGCAAATCTAAATTGCGTTTTTATTTATCCAATAGAGCTCACGATCAATGTTTTTTATAACTATTAATAAGTATTATGACATATTTTTTTCTTTGTATCCTTGATTGAAAATGATTTTTTTTTTAGGAATTGCAAACCAAGACCAGATTAGTGGAACAACAACAAAAGACCATAGAAAAGTTAAAAGCAGAAGAAAAGAGATCTCATTGGAAAGGCAAGGAAAATATAGGAATGGTACATTCGACCCCTATTTCGTCTCCGCACAAAACATTGACGCCATTAAGAGATCGAAACGATTAATCTCAAGCAATAGTTCAATAGCTTATTTTCTTAAATTATTAATCTAGATTGTGCAGACATTCGAATCGACTCGTGCTCAAATAATTTCCTACAGAACTAGAAAAACAATTGCCGCGATGGTTATTAACTTTACCTGTGTTGTTAAAAAAAGAGAATATATAAAACTTAAAGAGAAGAAAAATGTATATTTTTTATAAAAATTACAAAATTATTATTGTTGATACTGTTAATTTTGCCATTATATATTTCAATCATAAATGAAGCAGATATACTGTCGACAGCACGTTATAAAAAATATTTGTAATGTATTTTACATTTTATGTAATTTGTATATGATACCATGACATATTATATTTTATGCGCGGTTATTGTGTACGAACGGATTATTATTATTATTAGTATATAAAAATTTGGTACAATATACATACCTTTTTATAGTTTCAATAAATGGCCTATCCAAAATTACTTTTGACGTGTGACAATGTATTTTATTTTCAGACTCTAGTACAATACAATTCTTTTTCATTACAGTTTTCTGAAGAAACGAGTTTCTCCTGTATATTACAAGAGCGAACGTCTTGGATTTAATTATTCAAACAAGATATAAAATTAATTTCTTTTTCAATAAAGCCCCTTGCACAATGCCAGGCAACAGGCAATAGGAACAGGAAATAAGCAAAAAATCGTTAATTACAACCTAAAAAATTCGAATGCTATGATTCGGTTGGCAACAGGCAAAGGCACCTAGAATTTTCAACGTGACGAAAACTCTGTGTTTATTGTCTGTGTCACTGTTTATTCTGCATTTATACATGCATGATTTCTGATTTCTATTTCCTGTTCCTATTGCCTGTTGCCTGGCATTGTGCAAGGGGCTTTAAACAATCTAAATACTTTAGCCATCGAACATTGGCCCCCTGAAATAGTATTAGCATCAGGCCCTGAAAAGTCACCATCCGTCTCCTGAGTCGATTCTGTATTTTGAGACAAGGTGAAAATTACAAAAGTGAACAGATTTACTAGATTTCGACAAATAAAATTTTAGATTCTCTAGTAAATTTCCTCGCTTTTGTAATTTTTACCTAGTCCCAACCCAGGTAGCAAGCACTCTTCATTTTGACGTCAAAAGACGTCCAAAATGACAGACTTTTGACATCAATTGACGTCAAAATGACGAGTGCTTGCTACCTGGGAAGATACAGAATCGACCCCCTGACGGTCATCCGTAATGGAGTGAAGGTAATGAGAGAAAGATGGAAGAAGTAATAAGAGACAGAAAAATATAGGGAAACAATGTTTTATCTCGAATTTCTATAATATACTAATGTCAAGTTACTATAAATATCTAAATTAAATTTATTATTGTTTATATACCTGAGTAAAATTGCAGTAGCTCGACAGGTATTACGTGACCTTTATCGAGATACATTTGATGTTTGTATAGATGTATTCTTAATGTTTTTAGCTTGTTATTAAAAGATGCTTGAAATGCAAGATGTGTATGAAGTTCAGGGTCCCGTATTATTTCAAGTATTTCTCGTAGTATTTCAAAATACTTGAAATAATACGAGACCCTGAACTCTACATATATACGCTATACACGTTTGAACATGCGATGTATATTTTCAAATTTATGAGTGATATATTTTGTTACTTATTTATTTACTATGATACATATGTAGTATAATCTTTTACATCACAGAGTTTTAACGCTCTCGCTGACTAAGATTCAAAGATTTATGCATTCAAAAAAATGTCGGTAAAGACATCACTATAGGATCCCCTTAAGATATACGTACTTTTCGTAAATTCTTATAGCGTTTTTGACTGGGCCGGGTTTGCTCGCTCCGAGAGCGATTATCGACGTCACTTCAGCAAATCGAGTAATAACATTGGTCGATTTACCGAAGTGACGTCATTAATCGCTCTCGGAGCGAGCAAACCCGGCCCAGTCGAAAACGCTATTACAAAAAGTGTATCTTAAGGATGTTCTAGAGGTACCGTCCCAACCAAAAATATGCAGGAAATATTAAAAACACCGATATTAATTCTCCAGGGATCCAAAGATAAAAAAATGTATCCCTATAAATAGTTACAGCACATCTAATATAGAGTGTGTAAAAGATGTAGAGTTAGTGACTGTAAATAACTGTTACTACTATTTTTTTTAAGTCTCAAAAAAAAATATTGTTGTAAATTGCTTCAAATTTTATTGCTATATTTTTGTTTGTTGATGATCTACTTGTGTGTAAAATATTATTATATTGGTAGCATTTTTTAATGTTCACACTTTTTTCTGTAAAACCTTTTGTAAAACGGATATACTCAAAAATTGATAACTTTTTATCTAAATTGTGACTCGATTTAAAATTTGGCCCCGAACTTTGAGAGAGAATACAGCTAGAATATGATATTAAATTTTCATCAACTTCGTAGCATTTTAACTAACTATCCAGAACACTTAAGGAAATCTAAGTTAAATCTTTGTTGACATTTTTTTGAATGCATAATCTTTGAATTGGCTTTACGGGAATTGCAAAACTCTTTTACAAAATTCTTTTACACAGATACCTATTCACTACATAGTATCTCCTACAACTTCTTCAAATTTCATCAGAATCAATACAGAGCAGCGCGTTAGTGTCTCCTTAATGTGCTTTTCACAAGTCAACAAAAAAAATTAGAATAATATAAGTATATAATACAGAGTAATAAGTACAATCAAATAAGAACTTTTGACTCTCACTGATATAATTTTATATTATAATAATTTTAATAAATATTATAGAAATTAAGTATATTTTCTGATCGCGTAGAACTGTGTAAACGGAGATATTATTTACCGCATAAAAAAAACCGCGTGTAAAAAGTACCGCGTAGATCGAAGGATGAGTATATATATTTGACGTGCAACGTGCATGTACAGCCCGTTAATTACAATATTTCACGCAGTGATGTTGTTCGAAAGAGATTACGACGGATCCCGTTAGAGTTATCACCAACTTACCCACGTGATTGGACTTTATTATGCCCGACCATGCGCCCGAAGTCGCCGCGGTGTGTGTTCGTATTATACATTCCGTCCGTGGCAGCTCTCGACACCCGTAATCACTATAGATACTGCTCTTTGAACTCCTTTAGCTTCTCTCTCTAAGGTCAATAACTACATGAATTTTAAACATCGCCGACAACATCCATCTAATTAGTTTCCACCTTATCAACGTTTCGTCTATTTATCGCTAACAACGGCCACCCGACCGCTCACTAAAAACCGGCGGCGCAGCGTTTCCGTGTCGGGGTGTGAGACCTAAATAGACCCGGTCCCTGTGACAAAACCCGGCGGATGTAATTTGCGGGGCGGGAACGGAAACTTCGGGATACGGATTCGCCGTATCACGAGGGTAATTCGGATTTTATGCTTCGCATGATCCTGTCGTGTCGGATTAGTCGCGCCCCAACGTGGTCGACACATCAAGATGAATTTAAACGAATATGATATCACGATCTTTATTCTCAAATGCAACAAAGCATACCTATAATGATACTCATTAACTCTTTAGTCTACTGTATAACTGACTTTTATGATTTCGAATATTGCAGTAATCTAAACGAGATTGCAAAGCTGATCGGATTAATGCTGATAGCGTATATCGATTGCATGTATAAAAGGAACGGCTTCCTCCGTTCAGCGTTATAATTAATAAAATTAATTGAGTATGAGGAGAATTAAAATCATTAAGAGAGTTTTTAAACACACAAACTCTACAAATTCATTTATAATAAATTGTAAAAATTATTAATTGAAAAAAATTGTGCGTGAATAAGAAAATTTTTTATATTTTTTGGTAATCGCGAAAATCTGTTATAATTTCTTGAGGTTTTAAGAAGTGCTCGAATGTATTATTTATTACTATATATATTTTTTTTATTATTAAAATTATTAATGGTGAATGTCTAGATTAAGGGTGACACCTCACCGATTTCAATGACATATTGTCAAGGATATGGCTCTGACAAAGTTGCAAAACGTTTTAGCCGTCGCTTGTTGTTTATTACAAAATTATTAACAAAATATTTTAAGAAATATAATAGTTTGAGTCGGTGCTAAGGAAAGTAATTTGCTGATATGTGTACTGTCATTTTGACACAAACTGTTATATTTGTTAGTTACATTTGTTAATAACTTTGTAATAAACAACGAGCGACGGCTAAAACCTTTCGCAAGTTAGTCAGAGTCATGTCCTTGATAATATATGTCAAGGCCATTGAAATCGGGAAGTTGCCCTTAATCTATATAGACAGTAGGCACTTTTACCTTAATAATTGTAATAATATTAATAATAATAGTACTATTATTACAATTATTTATTTGCTATTTACTATTAAAATAAATTGTGAAATCAAAATTTTTTAAGGATGTATTGCACCTATTTTCAAAGCGCTACCAAGTGGATAAAAATTTGTAAGAATGTTCTTTTAGTCTTCCTGATGTGCTACAAAAAAAGTAGAAACGAAGTAAACGGTTGCTGAAATATAACGATTTTAATTTTCACTGATTTTACACGTATTTTTATGGGAAGAGACGATTTTGACGGATAAAACAGCTAAAAAAATGTTGAAGGAGCGCTACCAATATTTTGAATTTTTTTGTACATCTAGTATACGAATAGATGAAACTATCTGTCAAGTTTCAATTGTCTTCACTACACCGTTTTAAAGAAATAAATTAATAATTAATAATAATTAATTATTAATTAATAATTAATAATTAATTATTAATTTTATTAATAATTTGACGTTATAAAGTTGAAATCAGGGCATTTTTACTGCCAAAAGTTTAGGCTCATAAATTACAAAAATCGCAAATAATACTGGAAAAAAGATTTGTAAAGTAAAAAATACCTTTGTAGGAGTAAAAATAAGACTCCTACTATCATTTGAGTATCTTACATCTAGATTTACTATGCGTTAGGCGTAGATATTCAAGTATTTCAAATTTCATGCATTTTTGTCTAAGATTGTACCAGTGATACATCCTTAAAAACTAAGACAAATAAAACCACATTAAATTTAATTTTTCATTGTTTTATTTTTAAAATAAAAAGAAGAAATAAAAGCACTTAAAAAATATAATGAATAAAATCTGGATGATCGTACGAGGGATGTTCAAGACAGTTCGCGAAAACACCCTTAGAGAGCACTAGCATCCACATTTTGTAAGCGTACGAAATAGCCCAATAAGCTTGTTCTTAGGTACTGTTCTTTCTTTCAATAAAAAAAGCGTACAAAATGTTGCACATTGCAACTCAAATTTAACGACGTAGCATGCTTTAGTTCGCGCTCGACTTTTGCATTATACTAATATAATACATATGTATATTTTAAGTTTAGGAATTCGTGATTTATACAAATATTATGAAACGCCTAATCGTATAGGCGGTCGCTTGATATATTGATATATCGTTCGTACTACTTAAACACGTTATATAAAAATTTAAAAAATCGGTTGCGAAAAATCTGTAGATACTAGACACTTTGCTAAACTCCCTGAGACATTCTGTTCATGTAATTCGGATGAAATCGTCAATTAGAGAATTTTTTGCTTGCCGAAAATTCTTCGGCGGCACGCACTGTTCGTAGGTCGTTTCTCGATCTGCGATCCTGGCGCAGAAATCGATCGTGACCGTCAAGACGTGATCCCGCTTTCGCAATCAACTCTATTCTGCGCGGCTCGCCCCCGGAAGGAGAGCTCTACCTGTTCCGTGTCGTTTGGCAATGACACGCACCCCTGGCAAACGCCGAAAGGGGTAAAAGAGAGAGAAAAAAAGAAAGAGAGAGAGAGAGAGAGAGAGAGAGAGAGAGAGAGAGAGAGAGAGA